TGTTCCCCTCCCCGCCCCCCCTCCTACATCTTGATGCAAAAGGCCAAAGAAAATCGTAATTGCCATGGGACCTGGAGAAACAGAGCCCCATCGGGGAGAGGAGCTTCACTGGGAGTTGGTGGTGATGAATGCAAAGTGGTTTGTGTGGACTAGGAGCTGGGACTGGTGGAGGAAGAGAAAGGGATGGGAGGGTAGGTTGGGAGGCGGGGAAGAGTTCGGGGAAGCCATGGTACCTTGCAATTCTGTCCCAAACGCATAGGACTCCTGGCTGCTCTGGGCAGGGTTGGCGCCAGAGGGGTTAATGGGATCTCAGCAAATCCCTGACCATGGGCCACACAGGTGGACTTCAAAGTTAAGTCTCGGGCTGGTAATGAGGCTCAGGGATAGAGTGCTTGCCTCACATGCATGAAGCCCTGGGTTCGATTCCTCAGTACCCCATACACAGAAAAGGCCAGAAGTAGTGCTGTGGTCAAGTGGTAGAGCACTAGCCTTGAGCCCAGAGAGGCTCAGGGACAGTGCCCAGGCAAAACAACAACAGCAACATATAAAAATTAAGTCTCACCAGGTGCTGGTGGCTCACGCCTGTCATCCTAGCTGCTCAGGAGGCTGAGATCTGAGGATTATAGTTTGAAGCCAGCCCAGGCAGGAAAGTCTGTGAGACTCTAATCTCCAGTTAACCACCAAAAAAGTTGGAAGTGGAGCTGTGGCTCAAATGGTAGAGTGCCAGCCTTGAGCATAAAAGCTTGGGGATAGTACCTAGATCCTGAATTCAAGCTCCACTACTGGTACACACTCTCTCTCTCTCTCTCTCTCTCACACACACACACACACACAATCTCAAGGTTGAAGTGTGCTGTGCAACTTCATGCCATTGAGCCCTACCGTTTGCAACCGCGTGAACGAATGACACGCTTGGTTTCTTCAGCGGTGTCATTGTCATCTCCTGCTTTGCTTTGCAGGCTTCGGCACCATTCAGCCTCCAGCCCTGGGCCCCAGAAGGAAAGATCTGGAGCCCTGTGATTTGAATATGTTTTAACAGCGGAGAAGATAATTATTTGGGGTAGCTGCTCTGATGATAGCTCGCACAGAGCTCAGCCTGCAGAGTGGAGCTGTCTCTAATCATGATTGCCTGTAATGATTACCCCAAACTCTGGAATGATAACAATAGATTGTACAAAGTTAGGGCATAATTAATTGCTTCCCCAAGCCAGATGGGAATGGAGCTACAGCAACTTTGAGCTTGTAGTCAGCCTTTTCGCTAACTCGACTTCTTAAAAGCAAAGGCATGGTTCCTGCTACACCCACCCCCTCCTTTTTAAAAATCACACAGAGGCCCAGATTTGTGACGCTCATTCACCTGTTCAGAGCCAGTAAGGGCTGGAGTTGGGTGAGCCATTCACATCCTAGGCCTGCCATCTTTGAGCTTCAGAAAACCTTTGATCTCTCTGTGACTCCGTTTCCTTATCTGGCAATACCTCCCTGGCTGACATGTTGGATTAGAAATAGATTATACCTAATCGGTGCATTGAGCTGATGGGTAGCCAGTAAGGGTATGTCATTATCTTCATCATCACCATCATCATCACCATCATCATTGCTGTGGATTCTCAATTCTCAGGCCCTGAGAACCCTCTGAGCTGTGGGAGTTTGTAGCGTTCGCTTGAGCTTGCAAGTTGGTTTGTAACCAGTGATCAGGGATGTGGTATTTTTCTCTCATTAGGGATGGAACTTGGCCAGAAATAGATACAAAAGATGAGAAGATATAGGCCTCTTTTTTTTTGTTTTTTTTTTGGTCCGGTCGTGGGGCCTGAACTCTGGGCCTGGGTGCTGTCCCTCAGCTCTTCAGCTCAAGGCTAGCGCTCTACTATTTGAGCCACAGCACCACTTCCGGCTTTTTTTTTCTGCTTACGTGGTGCTGAGGAATCGAACCCAGGGCCTCATGCATGCAAGGCAAGTGCTCTACCATTGAGCCACCTTCCCAGCCCAGATACAGGCCTCTAAGAACAGAGTCCACCAGCCTGGTTCTGATGATTCTGTGCCGGTACCCACAAATGCCACCATGTCCTGCTGCCTGGGTTGGGCATTGAGTGTGTGTGTGTGTGTGTGTGTGTGTGAGTGAGAGAGAGAGAGAGGGAGGGAGGGAGAGAGAGAGAGAGAGCAGGATTCCAGCCTCCTGTCCCACCATTGAATGTAGAGGTTGGGGAGTGACCCCAGAAACGTCACTTTTAGGTAACCGGTCACTTGAGCATTGATTATCTGTCCCTTCCCCTCCGAGAAACTCTATGCGCTTTGTCTGCAAATCACAAATGTAGCTTAAACACAAAGCCAGGCGCTGGTGGCTCATGCCTGTAATCCCAGATACTCAGGAGGCTGAGAGCTGAGGATCGCGTTCAAAGGCCATGAGACTCTCATCTCCAATTAAACACCAAAAAGCCACAAGTGGAGCTGTGGCTCACGTAGTAGAGCACTTGCCCTGATTTAAGACAACAACAAAGTAGCTCAGACACAGGGCCCAGGCCCTGAGTTCAAACCCTAGGCTGAGAAAAAGGAAATAACAAAATGAAAACTACCCAAGCAGCTTCTTACTGATCAGCTTCAATGGCCCCAAGTGGCACAGCGCACCTGATTTTCTTGGGCTGGAAGGAAGCGGCCATCACCCAGCTCTGGGCCATCTCTCCTACCCACCATCCCTCCCCTCTGCTGGTGCTCCCCGGCCTGAGGCTGTCTTAGTGAGCTCAGCCTGGTGTCTGCCCTGCCTGGTGATGAATGAGGGAGAGTCCCGGCCTCCTCCGACCCCAGTGAATCAGCTGCCCTTGCCTGGCCCCGTGCAGGGCCCTTGAGCTCCACCCAGCCAGGCTGACTGGCGTCTGGCTAATGGCTTTGCTGTGTTACACATTGACCTCGCGCGGGCTAGGCAAGCAGTCCAGCACCGACCAACTGGACAGTGATCATTTCAGTCTATCCAGTCATCCCAGGCAGTTTCCACCATGTAGCCAGCCCCAAAAGAAACCGTGCACCAACTGCGCATGTTTTCTACACAACCAAGGCTGGCCCCAAACTCTTGATCCTTCTCCCTTCGCCTCCCGAAGGCTGGGAGAACAGGCATCTGCTACCATGCTCAGCCAGAGTGGGTTCCTTCTGAAGACTGCGAGGGAAATTCTGTTCCAAGTCTCAGTCCTTGGCCATGTTCTCTTCACACCTGCTTCCTCTGTGCCTGTCTGTGCCTTGTAAGGACACATACCACATTCTGCCAGAGCCCATCCCAATGACCTCGGTTTTACTCACTCGGCCCCATAAAGGCCCCTTTTCCAAATAAGTCACATTCTGAGGCGCAAAGAAGCAAGACTTTCAGAGAGAACACATTTCAGCCCATAGCACACATTAAGCAATTTCACCTTGAGTCCCTTTGATTCTTTTTTTGTGGCTGAGTAATATTCCACTGTCTGCAGTGATTTAGAGTTTGAACACCCAGTACAAAGCACCTGCCAGTGGAACCCCACTGCCCACCTAGCAACCGGACACCCAGGCTCAAGACTTGCTGTGCAAGGTGGACCATGGATCTCATAGCCATAGCTCACAAATCTCCCAGCTGTGGACTTGTTCCTTACAGTTGCCACCCTGGCAAGAGCTCTAGTTTTCGTGAGCCAGAGTCAAAGTAGTACTGGACTAGGGGGAATCCAAGTCCAGCTTCTGCACCTAGATTCCTTTCTGATTTTCCACCTGCATCTCTTCCTCTTCCTCTGCTCTCCCTCCTCCCTTCAAGTATGTGGCCACACTCCTTTTCTGGAGAGGGGCGTGGCCTGCCCAGGTAGCCCAGCCCTTGGAGAAGAACCAGCCCAGAGCCCTAGCCTGCTGCCGTTGTCATGGTTACTAGGCTTGGTCCCCTGGGCCACTGCCTAGCACCCACCAGCTTCTTCATACCTGGCCCAGCATGGAAGAGCCATCCATAGACACGCGTCCTCTAAGCTTTGAAACCATCCACTGCTGACTTGAACATTTCTTCTGCCCCCTAAACTTAAAATCTATTTCTGCATCCCTACCAGCTTGGGCTGTTTGGGAGACAGGGGGCGTTGTCATTATCTTGCTGCACTCAGGCTCCGCCCTTGTCCCTCAGCCGCGGTGACTCCCAGGGCCCCAGCAGGAACATGTCATCCTGCCGGAGACTTTGAATAGACTTTTCCCTTGAGCAAAAGCCCGCCGCCTCTCTCTTCCTCTCTCACTAACCCCCTACCAAATTAATTTCACTGCTGCAGAAGTTCTTTGGAACTTTCTACTGGGAGGTAGAAATACCAGCTGGGTCCTGGGTGGGTTCTAGCTACCCAAGAGGCTGAGATCTGAGGATTGGGGTTTGAGGCCAGTTGCCAGAAAAGGCCATGGGACTCTTATCTCCAGTAAACTGCTTAAAAAAAAAAAAAGCCAGAAATGGAGCTGTGGCTCAAGTGGTTGTAGCTTTAGCCTTGAGAAGAAGAAAAGCTCAGGGACAAGGCTCCGGCCCTGAGTTCAAGCCCCAGGACTGGCACAAGTAAACAGTGAAGACAAGACAGAACGTCTCCCGTGGTCTTGGCTCATTGGGTCGTTCTGAGGGGGGCGGTGGGCCAGGGACTCTGGCCGGAGGCTTCACCAGCCATCATGAAACTGGAGGAGAACTCAGAGAGCCCTGGTTGCCAGCGTGGCACAGGTTTCTGGAACTCAGCCTCTCCTTGGGGCTTTTGAAAGCTTCCAGAAGGTTCTCACGTCCAGCCACCTGCGAGATGTGGACAGTGGCCCCAGGGGAGCCACTCACGTTGGGAGTGGGGACATGCGATCTTCGATGACTGAGGTGGAGCTACCTAGCACAGCCACTCCAGAGAACCCGGGCACTGCTTTCTTTGCCCCGCAGAGGGGGTGGGGGTGGGGGTGGGGTCATTCGGTGTGCTTGGTGGCGGGGGAGGGGAGGGGCGGGAGGCTATCCTCAGAGGCCAGCCGGGCTGACCTGCATCTCCGGTCTGTGCGCTTTGCAGTACAAGATCGGTCAGCTGTACATGATCAGCAAGCACAGCCACGAGCAGAGCGACCGGGGCGAGGGCGTGGAGGTCGTGCAGAACGAGCCCTTTGAGGACCCTCACCACGGCAACGGCCAGTTCACCGAGAAGCGGGTGTATCTCAACAGGTGAGTCCCTTGGCTCCTGATGCCAAGCCCCGTGTGAGGTTACGGCCGTGGGTGTGGGGCTAACAGCTCTGCCCTGGCCCTGTCCTGCCCCTTCCAGGAGGTCGGAGCCAGTCTGCTAGTCACTGTGCCCAGTCACGGAGCACCTGAGCTAAGCCCCGGAAGGGCTGGCGTTGCGGACGTTCTGTTAGCTGTGGGAGGAGATGACCCCTTGCACAGGGCAGGGCGGGTCTGCGGGCTCTTGTGCCCTTGCGTCTTGATAAACTAGGACTTCGTTTGTAGTGGAGTGGTAATCAGGTGTCTGGAAAGGGACCTGGAGAAAGGTCCAGACACTTGGGACTAGACAACGCGGACTAGGCCAAAGGCTGTCCCCTGCGTTAGGAAGGATTTTAAACCTGTTCAGGTCAAGTTTGTCTTTCCCGCTTCCTTTTTTTTTTTTTTTTATTGCTAATGATATAGTGGATGACTAGAGCTGGTCTGATGATCTCCCCATCCTTCCCCCTCAGATGCAACCCATCCTTCCGTTCTGGCTCTTTTCTGGGTTAGAATCTTGGCAACAGGGTCACCTAGGAGTGTATAACTGGAATGAGCTGTTGAAATCAGCCTTCCCTGTGTACTCCGGCTCCCACCTACCCGTGGCCTCTCTGGTTGGCCCACTGTGAGCATTCAGAGTGTCCCTGGTGACTGTCCATCCATCCTCGATGCCTTGGAACCTGTCACCAGAGTAGATGTAAGTCTCCAGTCCCTCTAGCCAGGGCTGCAGAGCTAGGAAGTTCCTGAGCCGCGAGGAAATGCCGATGAGATTGATCCCTGGCCTCTGGGAGAAGTTGGCAATTCTCAGGCTTTGAACCACCTCCGCCTCCAGCCCCCTGATGACCCACAGGACTTGCTTTGCCTTGGGTCTAGGAATGGCTTCTTTTTTTTGTTTTTTTCCTCCAGTCTTGGTGCTTGAACTCAGGGCCTGGGCACTGTCCCTGAGGTTATTTTGCTCAAGGCTAGCACTCTACCACATGAGCCACAGCACCACTTCTGGCTTTTTCTGTGTATGTAGTACTGAGGGATTGAACCCAGGGCTTCATGCGTGCTAGGCAAGCACTCTACCACTGAGCCACATGCCCGGCCTAGGAATGGCTTCTTTACAGAGACAGATTCCTCTGTGTCCTGCGTTGGCCTTCTGAGCCTGGAAGGGATGGAGATGCCTTGAGCCCAGGCCCCCCAGGCATCACCTCTGAAGAGCAAAGAGAATTGAGGGAGGGAGGTGCAGAAAAACAGAAACTATGGAAAATTCCATTTCTTGGCAGACAATGACATTCTTTTAAGTTATTGCCTAGTGAATGTTCCCTCTGTACCCAAAAAGAAAAACCAAGAGAAAAAAGTCTCAGCAACTTTATAGCTTTTGCTGAACCCGAAGAAGAAGTGTCTGGCTGGCTGTGTCCTGTCTGTTTTCACTATCAAAATACTAGGATATTTATTCTAAAAGCGAGTCGTCCACATTACCGAGAGGGGAAATGTGTTGTAAATAAAAGATGTGGACTCTTCAGTAAGAATAAGGGAGAAGATGGCTGTGGACCCTCACCTGCAGCCTGCGGCACACACAGGAGGAAACAGAATGATCCAAAGCTGATCTCAAAATAAAGGAAGGGAAATCCCCAGGTGCCAGAGCTAGAAGGAAACTTAAATCACCGTGGGAATCAGGCTGATGAGTGCCGAGGAAGCCAGGAGATGTCAGGGTCCCTGGAGAGCCGCGGGCACCTAGGAGCTGGGCCATTGTGCCCCTCGGGCGACCTCAGAATCAGTTTTTAACAGGCTGGGTGCCTTGGCTCGCGCCTATAATCCTAGCTACTCCGATGACTGATACCTGAGGATCACAGTTGGGAGCCAGCCAGAGCTGCAAAGTCTGGGAGATTCTCATCTCCAGTTAACCATCAGAAAACTGGCAGTGGAACTATGGCCAAAGTGGTAGAGTGCTAGCCTTGAGAGGAAAAAGCTCAGGGACAGACAGAGCCCAGGCTCTGAGTTCAAACCCCACAAGAGGAAAAAGAAAAAAAAGGGGCGGGGCTGCGGCAAGGTTGGAGACCTTGAGAACCTGAGGGATGCTCACGCCTGTCATCCTAGCTACTCAGGAGGCTGAGATCTGAGGATCGTGGTTCAGAGCCAGCCCGGGCAGGGAAGTTCCTGAGACTCTTAGCACCAGTTGATCACCAGACAGCACTAGCCTTGAGCAAAAAAGCTCAGAGACAGCCCCAGGCCCTGAGTTCAAATCCCAGGACCTGCACCCTGCTGTCACTCCCCCCACACCCCCAAAAAAGTGTGAGATCCTAGCTGAGTAAAAAACAAAAGAACTTGGGGTGTGGTTCAAACTAGGGGTATGATTGAAGCAGAAGAGCTTGCCTGCCTCTTGAGCCCAGAAAGAAGAGGTGTAGCTAGAGTAACAGGTAATTAAAAAGCGAATTGGTTAACCTCTGGGCAAATCTGAATGAGCCCAGAAAGCTTTTGAAAACCCTAACAATAGCTAATTGGTGCTATAACTATAAAATCTTAAGTAATAAAGAACAATAATACAAAAGATAGAAGAGTAGTAATTATAGTTTTAAAAAATGCCTCTAAGGTGCTAATGTTGTTTAGGAATTGGAAAGAGAAGTTGGTTGTTTTCAGTTGTGTTTTTTCTCTTAAAGACAAGATAAAGGAAGGTCTGAAGGAACAGTAGAACAGTAAATGAGTTTCAAGAGATAACATGCTAAATCCATACAAGGCAAGGAGCCTAGCTAGTAGTGTGGGGTTTGCTTTGTACTTGCAAAACTGTGGGTTAGATTCCTAGCACCACCAAAATAATAATAATAATAGTAATAATAATAATAATATAATGTATGCTAAATAGAACACATACATTTTGAGGGCAAAACAAATTGGAAGGTGAGATACTCACTTTCCCAGTCACTCTTGCTGCAAGAGGTGACCAGGTGACCACTTCTGGCCAATGAGACACCAATATTTCCCACTTGGCTGATGCTAACACCAGAAGACATACTACACGATCAATGAATTAAATGGTGCCATGATAGTATTTTTATTTATGAGGTTTTGTTTTGTTTTTGGAAAGAGGAAGAAAAGAAAGGAAGAAGAGGAATGGAGGGTGATTGCTAGAAGAAAACCAATAGTGCTGGCCATGTGAGCCTTGAGAACAGAACTGAATGCTCTAGTATAAGAAAGGTCTCCTGGGTGCCGATGGCTCACGCCTGTAATCCTAGATACTCAGGAGGGTGGGATCTGAGGATCACGGTTCAAAGCCAGCCCGGGCAGGAGAGACCGTGAGACTCCTATCTCCAATAAACCACCAGAAAACCGGAAGTAGCGCTGTGGCTCAAGTGGTAGAGCGTTTGGCTTGAGCTGAAGAGTTGAGGGACAGAGCCCGGGCGCAGAGTTCAAGCTCCATGACTGACAAAAAAAGAAGAGTTGTTTTTTTTTTTTAACAATCAATAGGTGAGAGAGGTTAAAACTTAAAAGTGAGAAGTGAATTCAAGTCCCAGTACTGGCACCCAAAAAAAAAAAAAGTCAGCCAAGAACACACACGTCCTGCAGAAAACATTAGCAAATCAAATACCTCAGAGAATAATAATGTGATGACCTAATCAGATTTAGCCCTGAGAGCCATTAAGTTGACATGAAGGAAATCTTTATGTATGCTTGTCCACTGTAAAGTCAGGAACTAAATAAGGATTCTGTTACCACCACTTCTGTCTGACCTTGTGGAAAGGTCTTAACCAAGGTGATAGAACAAGAAATGAACAGCTGAGGATGTAGCTCAGTGTTAGAATGCTTGCCCAGCATACACAAGGCCCTGGGTTTGATTCCCCAGCCCCACACAAAGACCTGGTTGATCACAGTTCAGAGCCAGCCTAGACAGAAAAGTCTGACTCTATCTCCAATTAGCCAGAAAAATCCAGACTGGAGGTGTATCTCAAGTTGTAAAGCACCAGCTGTGGGCAAGCAAGAGCTCAAAGCCATGAGTTCAAGCCCCACAGATGAACAAACACTGAGTATTAACATGCAGGCAGGCAAAATAGTTGCAAAAATATAATTTTAAACATTTCATTTACAATAGAAAAATAAACTTACAGGAACCTGTTAAAAAATCTACAAGATACTCAAAAATTTAATTTGCAATCGAAAAATAAAGATACTTGTTAATAAATCTACAAGATATCCAAAATATTTGGAGGATATTTTAAAAACACAAGACTAATGATGGGATATACCATATTCATGGATTGAAAATTATTATAAAATCACAGATCAACGTATAAGTTTAATGTAAATCTCATTAAATTGCTAATAGTGTTGTTTTTTTTTAATTTTTTATTTTTTTTTGGGTCCGGTCATGGGGCCTGAACTCTGGGCCTGGGGGTTTTCCTTCGGTCTTCAGCTCAAGGCTAGTGCTCTACCACTTGAGCCACAACGCCACTTCCGGCTTTTTTCTTTTGCTTATGTGGTGCTGAGGAATTGAACCCAGGGCCTCATGCATGCAAGGCAAGCGCTCTACCACTGAGCCACCTTCCCAGCCCTGTTTTTTTTTTTTTTTAATGCAATTCGGAAACCAGTAATTCACACCTGTAATCCTAGCAGGAGGCTGGGAGGCTGAGATCTGAGGATGGTGGTTTGAAGCCAGCACGGCAGGAAAGCCCATTCAATTCTTATCTCTACTTGACAAAAAATCTGAAATTGGAACTGTGACTCTAGTGGTAGTGTGCCAGCCTTGAGCACAGAAGATTGGGGACAGCGCCCAGGACAGGCAAAACAAAAAATAAAACATCTGGAGAAGGTTATTATAAAAATGTATACGAACAATTTTGAAAAGTTGAATAAGAGGGACTTACTTTACTAGGCAACATACTTTTTAAAATAAAATTATGGTAATTAAGGAAGTGGAATATTAGAGCAGAGTTAAATTAACTCATGGAACAAAACAGACTCCAAATAAATTCAAGTCATTATAAGAGCTTCAT